CATATAGCCCATTGGGCCTATTATTCAGCCTTTACTATCATTATTGTTAAGCATTGTAATGTTTTAATTCACATTCTTTTTAAACTAGTAGTTTCGATATTTAAACATCTGTCTAAATCAATTGGTGGTCAGGTGGTACAATGTTAAAATTTGTAACTCTCATAAAATTTAAAATTTTTAAGTTCACTGTATTCTATTTGGAAGGGCTCATCCCTATGCCCTAATCTCTTTAAGGGGGATATGGATTTGTTGTTTGAAGTGACTTCTTATAAGAGACTAGGGCATAGGGATGAGCATGCGACCCCAAACAACTTCCCTACAGAAAGCATTTTTTTTGTGATTTTTTTTGCGATAAAAATGACAGATTTTTTTGTGGTAATTCCTAGAAATTTGTACTTAAAGGGTCCATATTGGTATCTCAAAATTATATATTAGTACCTAAAATTTTTAAGAGCAATATTTTTGTACATTTTAGGAACTAATATGTACCCTTGAGGTATTAGTATGGACCTTTAAGTTACAAATTTGTACCTTCTGAAAAGGTACCACCCCAGTGACAGTTCGCGTACCTTTATTTCTGAGAGTGTGTTAGGTGTGCAATCTGACACAATGACAATGACATAAATCATAAAAATAAAGCTTCTTTATTTTGGTTTCTTGTTAAGACAAAATGTTAAAAAGATCTAAAATGGTGGGGATTAAGCCAAAGAAAGGATGGATAACTCTTATTTTTATCCATGATCTTCCTTTCTCTCAGAATTCACTTCCCGGAGCATCTAACATCATGTACCTCACTCAGGACATGCGTTTGGGCTTCCCTTACCCTAATACACCTAAAACGCAGATTGCCGTAAAACTCATCAATAGCAGGAAAGCGTTTAACTGCAGGAAAAGAGTTAAACGAAAACATGTATCGAATTTATCACACCATAATACCAGCCGTACATGTAATGCACAAATTAATGTCCTTTGATTCGGTCATGGTCAGCAGCCGTCATCTTTGAAAAAATCTCCATAGTAAACTGCTTGGTTTTCTGTCTGTTCCATTGCTCCGTTTGTTAGATTTTTGCTCCAACTTTCTTTTGCAATCTGAAGCGCATTAAACGCACAAAATGCCCAATTCACGCCACAGGATGTCTAATCCAATCTTTGCATTGACTTCACATGTAAATCCCTCATGCTTCATCTGCGTCTGCTTACTGCACAGGCTGCAAAACATTTCCCCCTCTTTCCTGTACTGTTAGGATTGTGAGGGCGCAGGTGAGACGTCCTTTTTCGGACATCTCAAATACATCAGATGCGCTGCGTATGCAACGTCAATAAGTCATGTCATTACATTACTCACTGGAAATCCAAAATACATTTCAAACAGAAATAAATATAATTTGATTATATGATTTGGAATTGGGTGTTTTATGAGATTATTTTCATTTTTTTTGTGATTATTTTGCCATTAAATTAAGAATTTTGCAGGATCTTTTTGTTGATTTTGTGTTGAATTTAGCGATCGCGGAATTGACGCTTCAATATGGCGTCCATGATTGTTTTCATTCCAAAGTACCGGTGCATATATCCAATTTGATTGTTTCACACGACATATGCTTGCCACAGCCATTTAGCGTTAAAACGACGAATGTGGCGCAGATCCTATACTACAGAAAACAATGCCGATATTTTCAACATAACACAGCCTCATTAGTCACTAGATACTAAGGGTGTCACGATCCTCCAAATCCTTGATTCGATTACATTTTCGTATCTAAAGGCACGATTCGATTCAATTTTCGATTATAATTAATTAATGACAAATTAATTATTTGTAGCCTACCGTTTAAACTACCTGACCTGTATGGTCTTTGTTTTACCCATAAACAAATCATACAGTAAATGAATAAATGCAAGATACACACATAATTACTACCTGTCAATCACTTTTTCTGCGGGACTCGTGAATAGGCAGTGATCTGTGTCGTTCTAATGGCGTCGTTAAAAAAGAGGCACAACCAACAGGAACCAGCCAACAGTATCTGAGGTGTTCGCTAAAATGACTAAGTACAAGTGAGTGAAAGATTGAAGCAGTCCTCTGACTGCATGGACCTGCTCTCTCGAGCGCATGTCTGTGTGGTCACGTGATGTGCATTTTCAGAGGTAGAGAGGAAGGAGGGCTGCTCAGAAATGCTACACGCCACTGTGGATGTCAAATCGTTGTCATTTTAAAATGCCTTTTAAAAACAAAACCAGTGTAAACAGGGCCTGAGTGTGTACTTTTCGCGAGCGGATTTGCAACGTGGGCAGGGGAGGATCGCGATGCCGGTGTTGTCTATCGGACGAACCGTACATAATACGTACATAGTAGAGCTTGCAAAACTGTGTTTTTTTCGTCGACAACACAAACGTTGTCAACATAACTCACTGGAAATCCAAAATGCTTACACACCTGTGACTTCATTGAAAGAGGAGAGGGTTTAAGTTCTGTCGACGGGTCTCCTGCTTCTGCAGTTTAACAAGCACTTCAACAAGCTTGTTTTTTTCCCGCTTGGCAAGCCAAGCTGACGTGACATGGGGGCGTGGCAGAATCTATTTTTTGATTCGATAATCGAAATTGAGCATAAATCTTGATCGATTTCAATTAAAAATCGAAATCGTGACACCCCTACTAGATACTAAATCTTTGAAAGTATATTCAAAACTGTAGTTTAATTTTGATTAGTTGATTCAACTAATCTAGCAACTGAACCCACCCCACTTTGCTTGCATGTGAAGACCCTCAACATCATCCACAGGTATGTTTGGGTTATCCTGAGCCAAAAAAAAAAAAAAAAAGATTATGTGGGCTGCAGGAATGCGGGCTGTTTTATCTCTCCGAGACTGCTAACTGCATTAAAGCTGACAACCGCAAAGAGTCCTTTCAGAATATAACCATCTAAAGAGCTTCTGGAAATCCCAGAATGGTAGGAGAGAACGTCCAGTCATCGCATATCCAAATAAACAAACTAGGCCAAGGTCACAAGATTTCACCGTTGATACTGCTGAACTGTGGCCGATGTTGTTAGCATTTCTGTGAAGTCTCCCTAGGCGAAAGGGTTTAGTTCCAAAATGTCAAAATGAAAGAAGGCGCACTTATACAGAAAGAAAAGCAGAAGAAAAAAAAAACCCCAACGAAATAGTCCCTGATTCCTGAAAGCTGGTATCTCCAAGATCAGTCCTAAGCGGAGAGGAGCACCTGCATATGGGCCCACGCGATATCAGGAAACCACATCAGACTGAGTCCCTGGCTGTGGAGTCACAGAGAAGCCCAGATCATCAACATCTGAACGCGGTTGGGGAATGTGAGGTTTCCGTGACGTGTCAAACTGTGGTGGATTCTAGAATGTCATGAAAGAACACCACTAATTGGGATTGACATAGCAGACAATTTAGTTTGATAAGAGAAGTTAAAAAGTGAGACAATAAAGAAAAGTAATGGAATCTTTTTTGTCTGTTTATCGCCCACTTTTATCACCCCAATGACAACGTTTAAAGGGGACCTATTATGCCCCTTTATACAGATGTAAAATAACTTCAAATATGTCCCTGTAGTGTGTATGTGAAGTTTTAGTGCAAAATACACCACAAAGAAATTTGTATAACTCTTCGAAACTGTCAATTTCAGGCTTTGATCCAAATGGGGTATACGCACACAGACTTAATTTCAGTCATCCAGCCCCAGGGCTTCTGCTGAATTGTCATCCCATAAAAAAAATAAAAATAAAACAAATAAATAAAAAAAAAAAAAATCGCAGCATTTAAGATCTGATTTCTTAAAAAACAAAACAAAACATTGATCTTCACTGTCTGACTGAGATACAATATAAAGTGGGTATCTGACCAAACAAGAAGAACTGCATTAAAATATCTTTTCCATGCCATGGCTTTAAAATATGGAAATTAATTTTACCCCAGTATTTTCAAGAGAGTTTCTGCGCTAGACTGCTGCTAATGACTTTTAAACTAACTAGCCTGGGTTGAAACGGTTTTTCGTCCCTTTTTACGCTTTAACAACCAAATGGACGCTTAAGTCTATTTAACTCATTAGATTTGAATTACATTACAACATCGGTGCTGTAAAAGGAACCTTATGACATTGAAAACTAGTCACAGACATCTCAAGTCTCCCGGAAGTTCTGGGAGTCTTCCGCAAATGCATAGAGACTTCCACATGCCCGCAAATGAGTGTTAGTCTCCCGGAAATCACACATCTCCCACCTGGTCCTTAAATACATCGTACACCTCTTTCCACCGCATCCCTCCCAGCTCTTCAGGTACGTCGCGCACACGTCACCATTCAGATACGTCGCTCACCACCATTACCCCCCCCCTCCCCCCCTCCACTGTGCTTCAGGCACTCGTAACCTCTGGCAACCTCCCGCAAATCAACTCTGTCTCACCCGGAAATGACATTTCGCAACTTGGGATGTCTGTAGTCACATAAACCTTTCACCAGAAGTCCATTATTGGCAGAAAAACACTAGCTGTGTACATAGCCCATTGTGTCCTTTTTGGTGACTGTCGCTTTAAATTCAAATGAGATTGTGAAACTGTAATGGCGCACGGCTGCTTCTCACTCAGGGCTGTCTATGCTAATTTAGGAGAGACTGTCTCTAATGGCCGGGGCTTTCCCCCTCTGATGACATACAAAGGCAGAATGTTAATCAGAGTGTTTCTGCCGACTGTTTTTATCAAGTGTGATTATAAAAAATTTAATTAATAATTTGAAAGATATTTATACACACACTGTTGCCATAAACCCAGGCTTGAAGGGAGCGAAAATGAAGACAGAACTTTCACTCTTGGGTGAACTAAAATAGTTGAACTGTTTGAACTACAGTATCATTTCACACAAAAACCATTCACATTGTTGTGAAAAAAAATCTTGTGACACCATGCCTTTATAAATAAGAGTGCATAAGAATAGTTTGCAGAGTATAAAACGCATGCATGGAGATAAAAAACAACATAACTGAGATAATCATCTTTAATTATTCATCATAGCAAAAACCAATGCCTTGCATTAGACTGATTCCACAGAAAATCAATATTTGACTTATAAAGATGAAGGCGCTCTGGTAATTTTAAGTGACTGTCTATTACATTAAATGTTAAATCTTAAAATTCTATTCTATTCTTCAAATAAGGCAATGACTTATACAGGTGAATTTGGAATTATTAGCCCTCCTGAATTATTAGGCCCACTTTTAATTTTTTCCCCAATTTCTGTCTAATGGAAAGATTTATTCAACATATTTTGAAACATAATAGTTTTAATAACTCATTGCTAACAACTGTTTTCTTCTATCTTCGCCACGATGACAGTAAATAATATTTTATTCGATATTTTTCAAGATCATAGTTTTCAGCTTAAAGTGCTTTTTAAAAGCTTAACTGGGTTAATTAGGCAAGTTAGGCTAATTAGGCAAATCATTGTATATCGCTGTAGACAATCAGGGAAAAAATGCTCAAGGGAGTTAATAATATAGACCTTAAAAGGGGTTTAAAAAATGAAAACTTTTTTTTATTCTAGCTGAAATAATACAAATAAGACTTTTTCCAGAAGAAAAATTATTATAGGAAATACTGTGTAAAATACTTTGCTTGGTAAAACATCATTTAGGAACTATTTAAAAAAGAAAACAAAACTCATAGGAGGGCTAATAAGTTTGACTTCAACTGTATATCTAAAAAGAATTCCTTTTAGGAGCTCTGCCTTATGGCAGCAGAGGTCTGTCAAGAGTTTGCCAAGAATATAATCTTGCTCTACAGTTATTGTATAATAACTTGTAGGAAGTGCATTTGTTATGAAGCCTAGATCTATTACACGGGTGAAAGAAACGACTCATTACTTGCCAAACCGCCATTCACTTCCTGTTTAAGATAAGATTATTTGATGTTGCATTCAATTTAGCTGGAAAATACCCAGCACCTGAAATAAAACTCACACTGGACAGCCCTGATCTGTCCATCTGAAGAACATTCTCCTATGAGAAACTCTCTCTCTCTCTCTCACACACACACACACACCAAGCTTAACAAAGTGCACAATGTACAGTGTTGTCAGTGTTTTGATGAACTACTTTATCAGGAATGCAATGTTTCCATAACACTCTTTCCAGGTGCAGCTACAATGTCGCCTGTAAATGCAGGCAATGTTGTGTACAGGTGTTTTTAACACCTTATGAGGAGCCATGCTGGCCTATAATCAGCCTGACTTGCCTTGCACGCTCTGTGACCTTAATCTGACGTCTATGGGTTAAAAAACAGGCCTGGGTCAAAGCAAAAATCATCGCAACAGTTTTAAACACCCAGTGAGCATTCAAGGACCTTATTTGAAGATCTCACATGTAGTAACCCTAGAAAATTTGATAAAAACTATTAACAAAATAAATTCTTCCACATTCATCCACAACCTGCACTCTGTCCATAACCCCGTGTGATGAGTTTCGTTAGCTAGGCCTTTTCCTTGCTTCACTTCTCATCTCCGTTTTCGTTGATCTTGAATCTCTCCAAGAACTCAGCGTGCTTCTGTCTTAAGATCTCCTGCTGCTTCTTAATGCCGTTCGCTCTGAGGGAAAGCAGAAAGTAGCATGATTAAATAAAATATTTACAGTTCTTGAAGAAATTAGGAGCTGTATTTTATGCCATCGCATTCAAAAGTCCTTGGCTCTCTCAAAATGCAGTTTGGGATTTAATGAAAAGTCGATCATCATTTATTGTATATCAAATGTAAATTAATTAAATAGGCTGCATTATAGTTCAATATTTTATGCCCTTCACTCGCCAACTTCCCTCTGTCTCGTTCCCTTGGATGTACAATACTGTGCAAAGGTCTTAGGGTCCCAGTTATATTTTAGTTTATGCGTTTTAGTAGGGGAATAATGACATTATATATTACTGCTAATTCTCTTAATTAAAATACAACCAGAAAAACAGGTTCTAGTTGGATTTTTGGGGGTCTAATTTGATTTGATCTGCATTTTCAGATCAAAGTTGTCAATAGTTGTCAATGTAGTTGTTATCAATATTGCCTGAATTGATTGGATTTTGAATGCTGAAAAGTGCAAAAAGGTTTTAATTTTCATGTGTAATTCCTACTAGAAAGCACCTAACCTGTAATACTTTTATTTTTCAACAAGATAATGGTCCCAAACACACTGCTAATGTGATGAAATCATATTTGGAGAGAAAAACAGCTCATGAAACAAAGAATGAAAGGAAATGGCCTTCACAAAGTCCAGATCTGAATATACAGTAAGTGCAGGCAAATATTACAGGCCATATGAGATTCACCTGGAGAGCAAAAGAAAGATAGAACATGTTAAATCTAAGTAAGAACTCTTCAAAATGCTAAAACATGCTTGACATTAAAAAGCACAATTGAAAAAAAAAAAAAACTCTGTTGCTTGGTGCTAAAGAGATCAAGTTAAACACAGTTTTCATACTAGTCTTTTGATTCCAAAAGTAATTTTGATCTGATTATTGTGTACATCGGGGGCTCCGGTTTCCACCACAGTCCAAAACATGTGGTATAGGTGAATTGGGTAGGCTAAATTGTCCGTAGTATATGTGTGTGAATGAGGGTGTGTGGATGTTTCCAGTGATGAATATGCTGGATAAGTTGGCGGTTCATTCGCTGTGGCGACCTCAGATTAATAAAGGGACTAAGCCGAAAATTAATGAATGAATTGTGTACATATTTCCCATACTTTTGGTTTGTATATTAAAGGTATAGTTCACCCGAAAGTAATGACCCTGCACTTGCTTCATATCTTTCCCAAAGCTGGTGGGGGCCTAAGACTTTTGCACAGCACTGTACATCTTTGATTACAACAGACAAGTGTCCACTACTGGTGGATCATATAAATGGGTTAAAATTGAATGCCCACTGACCACTTGGTAACTACATTGTTGTGACGTCACAATCGCATTGCATTCTGGGACATATAGGACACAGCCCTGCACTCCAACACCGGTTACTCACTGAAGTACCTGAATGGGAGACCGAATGGAAAAACTAGGTTGCTGTTGTAAGTGGTGTTAGTGAGGCCAGCAGGGGGCGCTCAACATGGTCTGTGTGGGTCCTAATGCTCTGGTAAAAGTGAAGGGGAGCGTCAGTGAGCACCGTCTTTCGATTGAGACGTTAAAGGGAGGTCCAGACTCTCTGTGGTCATTAAAAATCCCATGGCACTTCTCGTGAGAGTAAACCCTGGTGTCCTGGCCAAATTCCTTCCATCGAGGCTTACCCATCATGGCCTCCCAATCATATTCATCCACCAAACTGAGCTATATAAATATGCATTACATTACATAGGTGCTGGAGTAAACATATGAAGCCGACTTGCTCCAAAATCAAAGCGATTGAGGATATGTGCATGTAAGCTTCCATCGTTGACTTGAAGTGGAATGCACTTGACGTTGGGGATTCCCCCAATGGAACAAAGGCAGGGAAATTTGCGAGTGCGTGTCTAAAGGTGAAGCGTAATAGTTTCTTTGGGCGTACTCACACTATGTACAGTTGAGTCCTCCCATCTCCCCCGACGGCCTGCACTCACACTACATTCAGGCCTGTGCACGCTGACGTCATCAATGAGGCGCTGATCAGAAGCGCTCTCGCTCAGCACAGTGGAGATTTCTCTAGTTATATCATTTGAGTCGTTTGATATGCAGTGACGCACAGTCAAATATTTCGCCAAACAGATCAGCCACTTTTGACACTCATAAAGCCCTCGTGCTGCAGGAATTAGGAGGTCTGCTGAAGGTGTGCAGCTTTCATGCAGTGAGGGGTTTCGTCTTTAATAAACTAAGACAGTTTGCGTTCATTAAACAGCAAGAATGATTAATAAACACATATGAAACGGTCCCTTTAAAGTCACGTCTTGCTTTCAGTTTTGGGCTTTGGCGCTATTTGCACTCACACACAAGCGTGTCACGCCAAAGCCCAAGTGAACCAATTCAGAGCACTCACACTTCTCAAACGATTCGGGAAATGAGCCTGGGCAGGGTTCGGATAGCATAGTGTGAGTAGGCCCTTACAGACATCACTAGTCTCTAGTCTAAATGGGTTTCTTAGCCATAACGACTGGTTTTCTGAGTGTGCTAATTTATATATATATATATATATATATATATATATATATATATATATATATATATATATATATAAAACTAAAACATTGTTTATTTAAACTAAAATTAATTTGTCTGGCCTCAACAACGTCACAGCCAACAACATTACAGTATTATTCAAGTAACGGGCCTCCTTTTAAAGTCTAAAGGTCCTGTGAAGTGCTCTGAAATGTGCATTTGTTATTTGATGTTTGACGTAATCTCAACCGAAACATGAAGAGAGGGTTGGACACTGTAGCTCCTCCCCGTTTTGAAAAAAACAGCCAATAGAGTTTTGTTGTATTACTGCTCTGCCAGTGTGAGTGGTTAAGCTCAAGCACATCAAATGTGAAGAGTCTCGAAGGGGGTGGGCATGTCAGATACTTTAGAGCAGTGTTTCTCAACTGGTGGGTCGCGACAACATTATCAGTGGGTCGCAAAGTGTGTAGTCAAAAGAAACAACTAATGTTTAATTTTTAACTTCTTTGCTTATACCAGACTTTATTTTGAAATGTGCGAGTGACAACTGTACCATTTGACATGTGAAATTTCATTTAATTACAGCAACAAAATTGTCAAATCGCAAGTACGACCCTAATTATGCAAAGTATGGATTTACATATATTGACGACAAAAAAGGCTTAAAATCTCAGTGTGTCATTTGTAGTGATGTGCTCTCACAAAAGCACATTTAGAAACCAAAACTTTTGTCGTTTTTACTTTGTAAATAATTTTTTATAATTTGAGACATTTTGTTAAAAGACAGCAATAAAATATTGTTTTTTTTGTAAGTCTTGGTGATTTGCGTATGATTTATCTGTCACTACTTGTGTATGTTAACAAATAAATACAAATTAATTATAATTCCTAAAATTATATCATAGTTCCTCAAAATTTTGATGACCATGTAAAAATGTGGGTCCCATGGCCAAACCAGTTGAGAACCACTGCTTTAGAGCATTTGATTGGTCAAGATTGCATTAGAAACTGAAGTATGTGATGACGTGAATATATTGTTGATCCACTTAGGCGGAAGTGACGGACTACACACTTTACGGGTCCTATCATACACTTGGCGCAATGTGGCGCAAGGCGCGGCACAATACTTGTTTGGTAGTTTCATCATGGTGCAAGAGTCATTTTGAGGCGTTGCCCTACACTGTTTAAATAGCAAATGCATTAGCGCTCATTTGTGCGCCCATAGGAGTTCTGGTCTAAAAAGGGAGGCGTTCTGAGGCGGACCGCTGGCGCGTTGCTATTTTAAGAAACTATAATAGATTTTTCATTACACCAAAACAAACCCGGTCTAAACTCCGGCGCAGAGTTGTGCCTCGCTTACACACTGCTTAATACGCACAAGAGAGCAATAGGCAAATATCTTTACATATGAAAAAATTTTAATATTAAGGATATATATAGGATATAATAAGAATAGATATAGAATATAAATATAAAGGATTAAAATATTACAAAACATATTATTTTCTAGCGTACATAAATATAAAAAACCACTGCTTTTATGTCTTCTTCATCTCGGGAGGCTTTTTCAGTTCATTCATAACAATTTGCTTTTGTATAATGTTATTATTATTAGCAGTATTATTTATTATATCCATATTTATATTAGTTTTATTAAAAACAAGCTTAGATTTGCCCACCTGTCAGGTTTTAGACCATATGGGGCACAACATGTGTTTTAGAATATAACTCAGGGTTTTGAACACACTTCGTTATTATTGTTCATCTATTCGTTTGCGGAAATTAGAACTGAATTTAGAAATAGTTTTGAAACGAATATTTGCGCTTAACAAACGCAATTAATTATTTATAGACTAATTGATGTCTGTGCGTAAAGGTTTCCCTATCCAAGAGCGAAAGTAAAAGTGATCCATTATCTCTCATTCTCACGCAGTAGATGCTCTGTTTAACAGTTTTCTGTTAAAAAAACTGTTAACTGTTAACTGTTTGCTTGTGAAATGCTAATTTTTTCCACTTAGACTTACTTTGCGTCCTGTAAATAGCAAATGCGCTTATGGCGCGACGCAGCTGGCTTTTAAAGGGAATGGGAGATGAGACTCTAATTGGTTTATTCTCAAAACACACCTATAACTCATTAAGAAAATAAACTCAACCCTTTTAGACTATGTGCCATGGCGCAAAGCACATTTCCCATCCGTAAATTAGCAAAAATGCGTTCAGACACGCCCTGAAAGCCTTTGCGCCGTGCATTTTGCGCTCTGCGCATGGACCGTCAAAATAGAGCCCTACATGTTTATATCAGTTTTATATCTTATGAACACAAATTTTGTTTTGGAGCACACTAGCTTATAGACATCTTAAAAACAAACAAAACTGATACTAATAGCTAAAAAAACTTTCTTTTAATTTCATGGGACCTTTAAAGGAGTACACTTTTAATACAAATAAAAATAATAAACTTATCAGTTTATCTCCTGTTATCAATTTGCATGGATTTAGCTTTACCCAATTCATCTTTGCCAACAAACCTTACGATCAAGTCAGAAACATGATTTACAGAAGCGATCAAGCATTTCCATGTCTCACAACAGCTCTCCTTTACATTACAACAAAGTCTCACATCACGATTTCAAGCGCTACATCTTTTGTTTTCAAACCCTCTGATGTAACGCCTCAGGCTACACACTTCCCAGAGGCTAAACTTTAAAGCACTTCCCACCTGGCTCTTTCTTTCGATTCATTGTAGATCTTGGTGATGACTCTGTCCTTCTCATCCATGAAATTATTATGGACCTCTTCCAGTTTCCTGCATGACAGACCAGCCCAGAGGTCAAAGGTGAACAGATTTACTGCCAACATACATATTTGCAGAGGTGAACAGACATCCACAAGGTGTCCGCGTAACTTTTAAAAGGCCACACGGGCACTGACTGGGGCAATAAAACATTTGATCATTTTTCAAAACATTTCAAGTTCACTCTCTGCTACGCGTCAGCCGAGCAGCGTCTGTTTATGTAAGATGCTTAATCTCAGTCGCCTGAATTCAAGGTGTAAAAACATGTAGCTGATACTGGAAAGCATAACTAAACATCAGGGATTATGGGAAACCAGTGTACACACTCTGCTGGGGTTTGTCTGACTGTGGGACAGACGAAATATCATTATCATGGACTCATCAGAAAAACAATGCATGAACAAAAGAAAACATTTTGCTCTGGGTTTCATGCAAAACATTCATTTATCAGCACGGCAACATCCAGAACAAATATTAGGATGGACTGCTGCTGTACATGTTAGATTTTTTCTGAGCTAGGACTTACCTGAAGCCAAAGTAATGTGCAGAGACGCTGAGGATCATGGCGAGAAAGCAGTAGCCCACCAATCGCATGTTTCTTTTCTTTTTCTTTTCCCTTTCCTCTGGGGTGTTCTCCTGAGGCTGGGCCTGTCTGAACTGCTCCCAGTAACGCATGCTCTCATTAGCCTCCCAGCTGAGAAACACAGACACAAAATAGGTATTACAGCCATTGAGTTTATAATGTAAGCATGGGGTATCCCAAAAGCCTAATTAAGTCACAATAAACAGGTATCTTATATTAACTATCTTAAAGGAACGATGTAAATAGGCTAATTATACAAATGCCCTAGTGTTTGCATTTGAGTGAAATTGCTGGGGATTATTTTCAGTTGCTGCGTAATATCATTGTGCCTGCTGCAGCAAAGTTCTTTATATATTACGATGGAATGAGAGTACAGTTACTAGCCATATCAGCCTTGAAAATAGCAACTTTTCATTTTCCATCAATGCAGTCCACTACAGAAGAGTCAAGCAGCTTTAAATGGGAAAATTATTGAAACTCTTTTATTCATTTTTTATTTTGAACGAGGTGCTAATACCGATTCAATGACTTATGCTAAGCTAAGCTAAAAGTGCTCCCGCCAGACATGCAGATTGGCTGAATGGATTCAAAAATGGTAAAACTCACTGTTTAACTTTATGTGACTTGTAAAATGAGCGTATTTTCAAAATATACAGTTCAAGTCAGAATTATTAGCCCCTTTGAACTTTTTGTTTCTTTTTTTAATATTTCCCACATGATGTTTAACAGAGCAAGGACATTTTCACAGTATGTCTGATAATATTTTTTCTTCTGGAGAAAGTCTTGTTTCTTTTATTTCGGCTGGAATAAAAGCAGTTATTAATTTTATAAAAAACATTTTAAGGTCAAAGTAATTAGCCCCTTTAAGCTATATTTTTTTTCGATAGTCTACAGAACAAACCATCATTATACAATAACTTGCCTAATTACCTTAACCTGCCTAGTAACCCTAATTAACTTAGTTAAGTCCTCATATGTCACTTTAAGCTGCATAGAAGTGTCTTGGAAAAATCTAGTCAAATATTATTTACTGTCATCATGGCAAAGATAAAATAAATCAGTTTTTAGAGATGAGTTATTAAAACTATTATGTTTGGAAATGTGTTGAAGAAATCTGTTCTCTATTAAACAGAAATTGGGGGAAAAACAGGAGGACTAATAATACAGGCTAATAATTCTGACTTCAACTGTAACTGCTCGTATTGTGCACTACCAATCAGTGTTTATTTTTTGTGGACTGAAATAACTGTTTTACATTTAAGATTATAATACTTTTATTGTTGAATTGTATCTTAAAGGAGGCGACGCGGTAGGTTCGAGCCTTGGCTGGGTCAGTTGGCGTTTCTGTGTGGAGTTTGCATGTTCTCCCCGAGTTTGCGTGGGTTTCCTCCAGGTCCAAAGACATATGGTACAGCTGACTGGGGTAGGCTAAATTGTCCGTAGTGTATGAGTGTGAATAAGTATGTATGGATGTTCCTTAGGGATGGGTTGCAGCTGGAAGGGCATCCGCTGCGTAAAACATATGCTGGATAAGTTGGCAGTTCATTCTGCTGTGGCGACCTCAGATTATTAAGGAACTAAGCCTGAAAGAAAATGAATGAATCTTAATGGGACAGAAAATTGTAATTTTACTTTTAATTTATTGACTTACACCCTCAATTGAATTTCAAACCTTTACGAGTTATGAGTCTCTATAAAGCTGAAAACCCGTAACCTATGCCAGAATATACATTTTTGGTAACTATCCCTTTAAAATACGTCTATTAGTGTAACACAGCAAAAATGTAAAAAAATAAATAAATACTATAATTTAATAAATAATATCTTCATTGTCTGACACTAATTTTCATATAGACCTATTTATTTGATATCAAATTATAAATAATATTTGTTTTTCTCCATGACTTTACCAATAAACAGGGGTGTCACACCATAGGACAACAAAACTTAATTTTATAGTGATTACAAGTAAATGAAATATGTGAAAATTTATGAGACAAAAACTTTAAAGGTGCTCATGGGCTTTACAGGGGGCTTCCGTTACATGATCTCGAATGGGGTCCTTCAAATAAATTAATTTTCCAGCGGAATTTCATGATTTAAAATAAGCATATAGTGTCACAACGGAGGACATGCTTTTCAATGACAAAAAAATCAAGTTGCTATATTTTTTAAAATTATTTAGATAAAAAATTATTGCCATTTACTAAAACAGATACAAATTATGAGGTACTTGTTTATGAGGGATGATGAATTTATTTATTTTCATTTTATTTACGAGAGTTTTAATTTAGTGAACAATGCTTGAGACAAAAATTGAAAAACACAGGAGCTTTTTATAACAGGAAGACAAATACATACTGAATCAATACTAGTCAATACTAATTATATTCATGTTTGTCATGTATGACAGAGAAAATGCAACATCATGCCAACAACCCATTTACACAGAAGAACAATGGAAAAGTAGCGCATTGGAATGGAAAAATGCGTTCTGGGTGAATGGCCCCTTAGGCTGATATATGTCAAGCTTGTACTGCTTGACAACACTAACTGGTCTGTAGCTATGGAGCCCCATACGTAAGAGTGTATGATGCATTGTGTGGGACATTCCTCTCATAACCACCATTAAAATTTTTGTGAGAACTTCTGAGGGTCCAGACCAGATAGAATAGCCTTTATTGTCCTCCTGCATCAATGAGTCTAGGGCACCCTGTCACTGATTAGTGGTTTGTCCCACTGTTAGTAAAACATGGATATTTTGACCCATTTGTCCTGCCATAAAAATTAGGTTCTTTTCAAAGCTGTTCTGATCTTTATTTCGGTCCAGCATGGTTTACTTGCTTACCATCTAATCTACTCGGACCTAAATATTTGGCTTTTTTTAGAAGATAATAAGTATTTTCTTCACTGGTCATAATGTTTTGGCTCATCCGTGTACATGGCGATATTAAAGGGTTAGTTCACCCAAAAATGAAAATTTAGTTTTTTATTACTCACCCTCATGTCTTCCCAATCCTCTGAGACCAAATTATTATTTAAATGTTATGAGTTGCTTCAAAACACATCTAGATAAGTGTGAAAGATGTGAAATTAGACTAAATTCGCCAAAATATCTCAGAACAAAGCCGTTTTTACAGGTTTTTTGGTGAGCAAAATTTTACTTGAAGCTTCAAATGATTACAGTTGAACAACTGAAGTTACATGGAATGTTTGACAATAGTTTTGGTTTGATCACAATAACAAAAAGTCATAAACAGAATGCTATATATATATATATATATATATATATATATATATATATATATATATATATATATATATATATATATATATTTACAGTATGGACAAATGACAGTCTATAGAAATCTCCAGTAACACACAAAAAAGATTTGTCGCTAGTCACTTTTTAAAAAATTTGTCACTAAGGGGGTCTGAAAAGTTGCTAAATCTAGCGACAAAGTCACGTAAGTCCCCAGATGTTGGTAATATCTATGGTAAATAAAATTGATATTTTCTGTCTTTTAGTCAATATATTATATAAGAGACTTGCTTTGTTTACCAAATAAAGTGATTCTAATTGGATTTGCATTTTAAACATTAAATAAAAGTTAAAAAGATATTATTTTTTATTTCACATATTAAGGTTATAGTTATGATACTCCCAAAATAATTCAGCAGAAATCTGCAGATTTTTACCAAAATTCTCAGCAGAAACGTCCGCAGACTCCGTCTGGCCCTATTTATTACACTGGAATGACATGAGGTTGAGTAAATAATAAGAGAATAAACATTATTTTGCATGAACCAACCCTTTAAATTCAAGCTTGTTGATTATAAAAAAAATATTGTTTCTCACCTGGGATTGTTGGAGGAGCTGGAGGAGGTTCTGAAGGCCTGACCTCCAGCATACTGGTACCTCAGCCTGAGGTCATAATCCTGTCTGGACCCTTCTTTGCTCAGCACCCTGTACGCTTCATTCAGCTGCACAAACTGTGTGTGCAGACCAGGATTGGATGGGTCACTGTCTGGGTGCAACTGAAGGAGAAAACAGAACTTATCTTTCTTCCCAAATCAAAGCAATCACATTACACTATATAGGTCCAGTTCTCAGTGAATATAGCCAATAATTGTTTGGTGCATTTAAACAAAATCATTTTATTAAGCAGTTATATCAATTCAATAGAGTTTGGTCACGTACCATCTTTAGGAAAAGAAAGATAATGCATTTAAATTTAAACAAGTTATTAAAAAGACTACAAAATGTAATCTATATTTAGTATTTAAAATGTTTAATATTTTTCAGTATTTTTCTTGTTTCAATTATATTTACACATGTAAAATAAAATATAATAATACACAGATACATCTGAGGTATCAGGAGTATGGCCTAATATATATATATATATATATATATATATATATATATATATATATATATATATATATATATATATATATATATATATATATATAATTAAGTAATTTTTTTAAAGTATAGAAATACACACACACATATTTACCACTCACCACACCTTCTTCCATTCACACTTGAAAATTATATCATTTTATCAAAATTAGCTCAGGTTTATTCAAAAAATATTAAATATGACTAAAGATATCTCAGCAGTGGAACAGTGACAGTTAAGGGGTCTGAATATGACCTTTTGACCTTTCTTTCTCACTTGTGTTCAATGTCTGTCATATCACTCATAAACCATTTATCTGTTTCTGACTCGGAAACAAAGCACCCACATCACTTGTACCCTCATCTCCTGTCACACACATGCGCACACAAATATGTAGTGGTTCTATCTCGCCGTCACTCTGCTTCCTTTAAACAAAAACAGATCTTTCTCAATTTTCACTCCATTTTTCTCATGGACATACACAGATTTGTTACATTCCTTCTTACTGACATTCTTATTTTATTGCTTCAGTTACTGACAAGTAAAATCTTAATTGGATGGAATTAGAATCAATAATAAATGCCAAATCATTGAGGATTAACGGAAACCAACAAGTCTGCCACAACTGAACAGCGCCCTCTAGGGGAGAGGATGATAAATTATCATTTATCATAATTTTTTCACTAACTTCAAATAATTGACAAAATACAGGATCAATTATGTCTCTGAGAATAAATTCTGAGGATATATATTATTGCGATATAATAAATAACAGTATGCAAGTCTCAAATTAATGCAAAATGTTTTGCTCAGATGCATAATGCTCCCCTTACACCAGGGGTGTCCAAACTCGGTCCTGAAGGGCCGGCGTCCAGCAGATTTTAGCTCCAACTTGCTTCAACACACCTGCAAGGATGTTTCTAGAATGCCTAGTAAGAGCTTGATTAGCTAGCCTAGGTGTGTCTCATTGGGGTTGGAACTAAACTTTGCAGGACACCAGCCCTCCAGGACCGAGTCTGGACATCCCTGCCTTACACCATCAAAGCAATGCTTAATAATTATGAAGACAGCTATATTAGCATTCACACTAGTGTATGAGAACATTCTGGTTATTACAAGTGTGCGGCAGTTTTGTCGCATGTCACTTTTAAGGGTACTATTTCACCCTTTTTTCAAGATTTAAGTCTTTTGTGTCTCCAGAATGTGTCTGCAAAGTTTCAGCTCAAAATACTCATCAGATTATGTATTATACCTTTCTGAATCTGGGAAATTTGAGAAGTGAGGACATTGTAGCTGTTTTTGTTGCCTGTGCCTTTAATGCAAATGAGCTGGTTCTTCCTGCTTACAGTTCCCATGTGTGAGTCAGAGTCATAGAGATCTCTCTGTATTGCTCTTATGTGTATAGCCTTCACGTAGATAAACAGCACAGTGACAGACAAGAATGAAGCTGATCTCCTTTACTACAGTAAGAACTTTCTCAATGGTTATTTGATATATTTGTTGTTTAGTAAATTCAAGACTTTCTGCGACAATGAGAGACTCAATGACGTTATATGCGCACACACACACAGATCGCGTGTTTAACTTTGCATTGTTTTTGCACAGAAAATGTGACAGAATACACATTTATATCCACTGCTCTATGGATATCCGTTAACTTAATGTACAGAAAAAACCTGATTTAACGTCCACAAACCGGGATCGAAGTGTCTTCTTTTGCAATTGTACTGAAATGTGGCTATAGTGATGAATTACAGTGATTTTACTGTCTTTATTACAAACATGCACATTTTTAAAAAGTTTCAAAGTTGTAAAACTTATTATTGACATGCAGATGATCACATATTTTAATTCCAGTTGCTTTGCACACATCCTGTCTAGTGTATATGATTATACGTATTACTATGGAGACATGTTAATATGCGTCTGTCAATCAATCCGGTGGGCGGGGAAACCGCACTCCTATGTCACGTTGTGGTGGGCCTCAAAATTTAAGAGATTTGGATCCTATTTTAACGTCAGGAAATAAAAAAAGAGACTTATTGTGTTTCTATGACTCCAAAATGACAGTTCAGTCCAAACATCTTACAAAAGTTAACTTCCATCATAGGTGCCCTTTAAATGTGCAATAGTGTCAATAGTGTTGGACCGAGTCCCAAAATACTTGCAGCCAAACAGCAGTAAGGGGCGTTTCTAATAACAATAGCAGATCAATCAAAAAGGTGCAAGGTCATATTTGTTTGTGAGTGCTTTCTTTTGAGGGCGCTTTCAAATATCAACATTGTTTGGCAACATTCGCTTAGTGCACCTTTAAATGCTCTTGCTCAATTTAAGTGGATTCTGATAGGCTCAATGTTGTTATTGTTCTTTATTCCAAAAGTATTAATCCTCTGTGTCGGTAAAGGTAGTGTGGCTTCCCCTTTTCTCACAGAGTTATTAGAATGACTATTAAAACAAAGTTATTGTTCTTGTCAATGGTGTGAATTGTTCATTAATATTCATAAATTGCTATCAAACCCACTCAGTCTATAATAAGGTGACATCGAGACTAGACTCTTTAAGCAATATGAAAATACTGCATTGCATTAATGTACCTTTTTAGACTTGTCGAAAAATGCAAACTTAATTTGTTCCAGCGTAGCATCCGGTTTCACCCCGAGAAGTTCATAGTAATTGGTTTGTGACCTGTAAACAGAACAAAAAAGAATTAAGATAAATCATTTCTCAGCACTTGTATTCATAGAGCCAAAGCAGAACAACTGTACACTAATAATTACAAATAACTTAACCAAAAAACTTTTATTTCGCACACTTTGTTAGCCTGATCACTAAAAAATATATATTTTTCTTCATATATTCTAAAGTAAATGTTGTGTTTGTATTGTTCATGTATTGCTATGATGCTTCGGTAAGATGTTTTTGGATGCGTTTGGTGGTTTTTAATTTTATGTGAGTGTTGCTGTGATGTTCTGGGTTCTCAGGTCTCTGTAATATTCTGATTGATAGCTCTGAAAAATGAATGTACATAAATGTAATGGATCAGGATCAATAATCAACACTTTTCACAGTGAAAAATAATCACTGGTTACTTTGTAGGGGTATGTTAGCTCATTAACACAATTCTGTAATTAGCCAATTGAATGGCAGTGACACATCAGAATTTAGGCAAGGTGAAGATGATCTGCTGAAAGCCAGACCAAACATAAAAAATTGAAGAAAGGTCATTTGATTTTTTTGCAAAATGGCTGGTCAGAATATTTGAAAAAAAAAAAAAAAATAATAATAATAATAAAATAAAATTAAAAACGTTGAAACAACAGGCGGTGATAATGACACTTATATTGGGTTCACACCGAACAGGAATTAAGTATTCGCACAAGTAATATTGCATACAAGTCAACATGAAAACCAAGGTGTATTACCGTCCTGCGGTGCCAACAACGCGGATATTTGCCTCATTGCCTTGGTGTGAACCCAGTCATGGCCAATCAAAAAGGCACGCACATTGACTTCACGAGATGAAAACTCTGGCTGTAGTGTCTAGTTGACCACACTGTACCTGGGGTTTTGGAAAATCTTCACCCTGGTCAGTTTTCAGAAAATTTCGGTTAAAGTCACCCTATATTCCATTTTCATGTCAACAAACAGTGAAATTGTATAGGAGATGTGGTCGGTAGATGACCAGCTAAAACCAGCTTGACCAGCCTAGCCAGGCTGGGAGACCAATGAAAACCACCTATGTCCATCTGATACCAGGCTGGTCAAGCTGGTCAATTCCTGCCTGACCAGCTAAGATCAGGAAATGTCCAAAACCCATCTAAAACCAGACTGGTCAACCAGCTTAGGCTAGTTTAAGCTGTTTATTTCAGCAGGAAAAACGAGACAACAGATAATTGGGAAAACGTTGTCCAGCCAGATTAGTTTTGATTTCATGCTACTTGCAGAATGTTAATGCACTATGTGATAAAGATAAAAGCATCTAAGGAGTTCACTGAACTCAAATGGTCTCCACAGTCAGCAGATCTCAATTCAATAGAGCACCTTTGGGAACCTTTGGAACAAGACATTTACATCAAGAGAATTAGCAGACGACTAATCTGCACCAACTCCTTGAAACTATCAAAGGTCAAAACGGATCAAAATCTCTGAGGAATGTTTCCAGCACCTTGTTGAATCTATGATGTAGCCCTGAATGTAAAAGTGGACCCAAGTGTACGTAAAGGGTTAGTTCAACCAAAAAAGAAAATGACTGAAATCTAATTAATTACCCTCATGGAATTTCATGGACCTTTTCATCAGCAAAACATAAGTAAGATTCTTTTAGGTGAAACCTGAGAGCTCCCTCATCCTCCATAAACAGCAAGATTCCCAAATCGTCATGAAAAATACCCCCTTGAAGAATCCTAAAACAAAAATAACTATTCAGCAGTTTCTTCTCTTTATTGTCAATAAAGGGTGCACGCTTACATGTCGAGCTTTGCCGCAATTCTGACGCCTCTTATAACCTCAGATGCGCCTGTGTTTTGTTTCGAACAGAGGAAGTCATGCACGCGTGTCTGAGGGGTGTACATCACTGCACAGTACTCAGAAGCATGCGCCCTATACTGACACAAAAAAGAAACTGAAAAATAAAGTTGTTATTTTCTTTTATGTGCGCAAAAATGTGTTCTTGCAGCTTGATGATATTCCAATATCACCCCTGAAGGCATATGATCTGTTCTAAGATTTTCTTGGTATTTTAATGAGTTGGGTCTCAAGGTTTGTTCTTCACTTCTGCCAATTGGTGAAGTTTTGGTTCCTTACCACTGTTTCCTCTGACTTGCTTGTTAGGGGTTGTCGGAGCTGCTCTTCTGTTGCTCGTCCTTGACTTTTGTATTAAACTGAACTGAACTAAAGTGAGGCGGCACGATGGCTCAGTGGTTAGCACTGTCACCTCACAGCAAGAAGGTTGCTAGTTCAAGTCCAGTTGGCATTTACGGAGTTTGCATGTTCTCTCCGTGCTCACGTAGGTTTCTTCCGGGTGCTCCGTTTTCCCCCATAGTCCAAAGACATGCACTACAAGTGAATTGAATAAACTAATCCCACTTGTTAAGTCGTGACGTATTGGTGAAGTATGGAATACTGTTTTCAGGTCCAAGCTGCCACTCATTTTAATTGAGAAAATATTTGTTCATGGACACTTTTTAGTCCTATCACACAATAAAGTGAATTTTATATAACATCATGGTGTACACAACAGTCTCTGGACTTGCTGCATCACAAATGCCAAAACTTTAACAAATTATAAAACAAATTTATCACTTTTTGGCCATCGGATATTAGGCATGGACATATAAATTGCTATCGCGCTTTTCGAAAGTATTACAGTGCTTTGTAAACATTTATTACTACCATTTGATGAGTTTCCCCATAAAATTTGATAGAGCGCTTGGACCTAGAAGCCGCTTTGCCTGATGTCACGCTTAACAAGTAGTTTAGCCATAGTTTGTGAGTGTTGGTGTGAATATGAGAGTGTATGGGTGTTTTTCAGTACTGCGTTGCGGCTGGAAAATTAACAGGACATTTTTGGGTGAACTATTCTTTATGGACCGATGAATGTTTACAGGGCGCAGTGGGTAGCACGTTCGCCTCACAGCAAGAAGGTCGCTGGCTCGATCCTTGGCTCAGTTGGCGTTTCTGTGTGGAGTTTGCATGTTCTCCCTGCGTTCGCGTGGGTTTCCTCCGGGTGCTGCGGTTTCTCCGTTTTTTTTTGTGTGTATGTTTCCCAGAGATGGATTGCGGCTGGAAGGGCATCCGCTGCGTAAAAACTTGCTGGATAAGTTGGCAGTTCATTCCGCTGTGGCGACCCCAGATTAATAAAGGGACTAAGCCGACAAGAAAATGAATAAATGAATGAATGTTTACACTTAAACTTTCTGTTAATGTTGGGTTGAAAGGCGAGCAAAATAATGCAACCAGTAAATGTGCCAATATTACATACTTAGTGCATTAATAAACCTCGTGCTTACTGTTTATAGTTGTTAGAAAATAAATGAAAATCATCATAGAAAAAAGGGAAAGGTTATTAGTGTACCCATCAAAAATCAAAAGTAAGTTTAAAAATTTAGTTTCTTTAGTGAAAACACAAATAAATGAATTAAACTGAATTTCAACAATGACATTTGTTCTAAACCAAACTGAATATGATTTAATTTAACTAGAACTACAACAGCATTCGACCACTACTCTCCTGCATGGCTGATTTGCTGGAATGTTCCACTACCTGAAATATTGTTACAGCTTTTTATCCCTCCATCTTTTTTCATTACTCGTCTTCATCTATGGCTTGTGAAATGGGTCCATTGGGTTAAGAGGGCTCTCAGATTTCATCAAAAATATATTCATTTGTATTCCAAAAATAAATGAATGCCTCAGAGGTTTGGGATGAAATAAGGGTGAGTGATTAATAATATAATTTTCATTTTGAGTGAGCTAACCCTTTAATTATAGAGGCTAGTGAGTGTTTTTGTATGTGTTTTACATTTTTGGCAGCTACATTTCTAATTACAGCTGAAATTAAAACGTTGTGCATTTTTAAGAAATTAATACAATTATGTCCTGCATACCTGTGTGCAGCAGAGAGAGAAAACAGCCGCTGAGAACTTCTACAGTACCAAAAACAAGTCTGACAGAGCCGAATATGAGCCTCCCACTGCATGATGATCTCAGAAATATAAACTACATAAATGGGAATCTGAAAAACAGGGGAGAGGTATGTTAGTGCACACGAGAAACCATCACACACAATTGAAAACTACACATTTATTTTACGGGCATTTATTTAGCCATTTCAGCATGTTCGATGTACCTTGTTTTGTTGTAGTTTCAGCATACAATAGTACTTCCCGGGTGAAGCTCTACTATGTTGTGTTTAAGTTTAAGCAACCTGAATGCTTGTTGTGTTTGGATTAAACTTCATCACTCTGAATGCAAGCTGTGATTGGACGATGCTTGATCGTGTTTAATGTATTGTGTTCAGTGTTGTGTTAGCTTGAAGCTTTATCATGCTGAATGCACATTTTGTTTGAGTAAGGTTTTATCATGATGAATGCGTGTTTTGTTTGAATGAAGCTTTACATGTTGAATGCATGTTGTGTTTTGGTGTGACTTTACATACCGCTCAGCAGGATCCCATTGAAAGGCAGTGGGTCAGCAGCTCTGCGGGAGATCCTGAATGGACACGAGAGATTACACACATACATAACATAGTCTGGGGCTCTTTTTGACATCTAATATTCTTGTATTTGTTCAATTACAATAGCATCTTAAACCCTAGCTATTTTATTAGGGTATGTTTTCACATGATAGGTCAAGTTTGGTCTCCAAAAGTAAATTGTTTACGATTTTAGTGGCATTTTCCAATGAAAATACACGCAAAATCAGTGTAATGCATGTGTTTCCTGTCCAAACATACACAAAAGCAGAACCTGGACGACAAATCCAATCTATAACCGTTAAATAAAAATATGACAGCTGTCAAAGGCCCTATGAAAAAGTACTATAGTAATCTTTAATAAAATATTAGTGTCCAAATAGATCCATACTATAGTAGTTAAATTAACATGTTGTGGTTATTTTACCGGTAGAAAATATGGTTAAAAACCAACTAACGTTACAGAAATAAAAACTAATTACTGTAGTTTTTTCAAACTATAGAATATACCAGATTTTACTGTAGTAACAACTAAAGTATAACATTACAGTGCACTAGATATAAGTATGTTGTATTTATTAACAAAGAGTTTCAAATACTGTAATATAATATACTACTATACAGTAGTATGGTTAAAAACACTATAATACTTACTATAACGTCCTATATTATTTTATCATATGGGAATATATTGAGCTAACAAACTATACAGCCTTTCCCCCCGCAAAACCACAAATGCGCCCAAAAGTGCTGTCTATGTAGTCACCACACTTTTGAGACACGTCCATTGATCAGCAAACTCAAATTAGCAGGTAACGACAGCAAGGCTGTTGTTAAAATCTAAACTGTATTACTATGACACGATTTTATAACGTATATAAAGAATTCGTAACGCAACTCATGCATGTTTTGAGGCATATTAATCAGTTCCTGTGACAGAGATGCACTTTCCACTCGCTAGCTTAGCCGCGATGCTAAAAACAACAACAAAGTCATGGGAAACGTGTAGCTTAGCACACGAATGCTGTTCAAATCAGTGTAATTCGTATTAGTAAGTCATAAATCAGCGGATTAAACACAAATAATGGCGTCACCTTCATTCATGGAGACGCGCAGGTCAGCTGTGGATGTTCTGTTGCTTTCATAACGCTTTACAAGCGCTGTTACATAAATGGCCAATATGTGTTTCATGACAGTTGCATGTCAGGAACTGTTTGCACCACTTATACCTGTTCTGAATGGGTTATTTACATTATTTATATATTTTATTATATTTTAAAGAGCACTATATATATAACACATGAAGAAATATACTAATATTAGAATATACAAGTAAATATTTTTAAACCATAGTAAAGTAATTGAATTAATCTGTTGTTCTATAGTTATTGTGGTAATATAATTATAGTAATACAATTACCTAATACTGTACACATTTTTCTAAAACAATGCATATTGATATGAGTAAAAACTAAAGTATATAGGCCTAGTACAGTATATTTTACACTTTATCACTATATAGTTAATACTACAGAATGCTGTTGTAGTGTTGCAAATTTAATGCTAGCGCTTTACTATAGTATGGTTTAAAAATACAATATTTTCTTCAAATTACTGTAGTGTTTTTATGTGAGATCCAACTCCCTAACAAAAATTAACCATGGTTTTATTATGGTAAAGTTATGGATAAAAAATGTTGTACTACAATTTTTTTTAACTATAATTTACGACAAATATCATGGTTTAACTATGGACACAAAGACAATAAGCATTTTACATGCAGAGCTCAAAATATGATTAAAACCAATAGTAAAAAAATCTGAAAATCATATAGTCAATATATATTTTTGTCTGTCATGAAACTGTAGATGTTTTCAAGAAGATCTGCTGAAGTTCAAACTGGGCATAAAATGGTGGAAAAGATGATTTACAGTAAATAACTTTGAGCATGGCTGGTTGAAAGGTCCGGGTACTTCAGAAACTGCAGATTTACTGTGATTTTCATAAACAATCATCTCTAGGATTTAATCTAAATAGTAGGTGAAAATACCTTGTTGGTAACAGAGGACAAAGGAGAATGACCAGGCTGGTTCAGCTGATAGAAAAGCAGCAATTCAAACAGTACAACCAAGGTTTGCATAAGAGCAACTCTGAAAACACAATGCATCAAACCTTGAAGCAGATGAGCTACAGTAGCAACAGCAGAAGAGCAACCAGTGGCAGTGCATACAGCTGAGAACAGATAATTTACACAGACTCACCAAGTTTGGACAATAGAAGACTGGAATATGATTGCCTGGTATTATGAGTTCCAGTTTATGCTGCAGATTTCAGATGGAGTCAGAATTTGGCGTAATTAACATGAAAGCATCCACCTTGTCTTGCATGTATGGTTAAAGCATAGGTGTCAAACTCGATTCCTGGAGGGCCGTAGCTCTGCACAGTTTTGCTCCAACCCTGTTAAACACAACTGATCCAAATAATCAAGGTGTTCATAAGAGTCATGAACACCTTCATTAGTTGGATCAACTGTGTTTGAACAGGATTGGAACAAAACTGGGCAGATCTGCGGCCCTCCAGGAATCGAATTTGACACCTAGGGGTTAAAGGAACACACATTGTAGGTGCAGAGATGTTAAGGAGCACTTAAAGAAAGTCTCCCTCTAGGTAAATTCCAATGTGGCCACCTGCATGGTGTGTGCCTGCTGCAGCATTGGTATGGCAAAAAGTTCCTTGATCATTACACCGGAATGAGACTTAAGTTCCTTCCCATATTGACCTATAATATAGCAACAGTTCTATTTCTGTTAGTCTTAGGACACAATGCAACTACAGAAGAGTCTAGCTTTAAATAGGAAAATTATCAAAACTCTTTTTTTTTTTTTTGAGTGAGATGCTAATGGTCTAATCCGATTCTATGATTTATGCTAAGCTAAGCTAAAAGTGCTTCTGCCAGACTCAGCGATTAGTTGAATGTATTCAAAAAGGGTAAAACTCAAGTAAAATGAGCCTATTTTCAACAAAAAAAAAAAAAAAAAAAAAAGTGGAGTGTTCCTTTGGCTCCTAGGTCTGAAATGTATGTCACAAAGACTTAAAGGGATAGTTCACCCAAAACTGAAAATTACTCATACTTCAGTTGTCACAAACCTATGCGAGTGTCTTTCCTCTGTTGAACCTAAAAGAAGTTATTTTAAAAAATGTTGTAAATGGGTACCCAGTGACTTCCATAGTATTTGTTTATCCTAATATGAAAGTAAATGGTTACCGGTTTTCAACATTCTTCAAAACTTCTTTTGTGTTCAACAGAAGAAAAAACCTATTTGTTTGAAAATCTTTGGAACTAACTGAGGGTGAGTTAATAGTGAGTAAGTTATCATTTTTGGATGAACTATCCCTTTAAGGCAGTTCTAAAGTAAGGTTATACGGCCATGGCATAACCAATAAAGTACAAAAAACAATTAAATGCATTTAAAATCAAGCTGTTCTCTTAATCCATAGGTCAATCAGATCAGCAGGTAGCAGAAAATTCATGCCTCAGATAAGCAAATATATCATTTATTCACAGCTCAGTGCTCACTTATGAAAACCACAATTCATGAATGCTGTGAAAAAAATCTTAATTAAACATCAGTAAAATATTTGCAAAGAGAAATCTGTGCAATTCTGTCATTGGAATCCCATGTTATGATTACAGGCTCTCCACCTTAAAAATAAAAAGAGGAAAAAAATATTGATAATGATAACAGTTTCTCACATATTATACTTTATTAGCAGGCAAATGCAGAACTGACCTCAGAGAAAGAAGGGAAGTGATGATCGAGAATATAAGCAGCTCTGACACGTTGCTCTCCTTCATTGTTATACTGAATTGCTTCTAGCAGAGGAATGCCATTTAACCTCGTGAACTCTTCAACTCCCTGTTCCAAGAAGGAGTTCAAAGACTTTTAATACAGAGATACATGCTAAATGTGATTCAACAACAAGAATATTAAACTTATCAAGTACATTTATTTATGAAGCACACGACAAAGTGCTGAAGATAATAATCTGCATATAGAGCAATAATAATACAATAAAGAAATGAAAAACTTATTTTTGGCCCATTTTTTTTTATCCTCTACCTTACTAACAGTGTTTTATTTGATGAAGGGTTCCTACTTTATATAGTGTTTCTGACCTGTGGGTTGCTGGAGACCAGCATGTACAGCACTTCCAGACTGAGGGTGACCACCTCCGGGTCGGCCATCTTGAGTGTGGCACAGAGAGCGCTGAGCAGCCCCGCTTGTGTCAAACCAACACAGTATTCTGGTCCGTGATGGGCGATATTACCTAAAACTCTTAATGCCTTACACACACAAAAATGATTACGTGAGAACTGAAATCTAGGTGTGTATGCTATTAAAATGTACAAGTTGAAACAGGAGAACTGTATCAGCAGGAAGATAAAACTTATATTTTTTTTATAGAAACAGCAGCTAACGGCACTGACAAAATTAACCTAGCCAACTATTAGAAAAAATTAAATATCAGCATATTTATAATTTTCTTTCAACAACAACATAAAACAAAATCATGTTTCAGTTTTTAACAGAAGTCTTAGGACACCCAAGGCAATATTTAATTGAAGGGACAGCTCACCCAAAAAACGAAAATTCACTCGCTATTTAATTACCCTCAAGTTTTAATGATGTTGTTTCGTCTGTTGGACGCAAAAAAATATATTTTAAAAAGAGCTGAACACCAGTAACCATTGACTTCCACAGTAGGAAAAACAAGTACTATGGAAGTCAATGCGTGGGTTTTAGCATTTTTCAAAATATCTTAATTTGTGTGAAAAACTCATCACTTACATTTGAACAACTTCAAGGTTTGAAACAAGTAAAGGGTGAGTAAATGATTGTAATCTATAATTAATTATATACTTCATGAATATGTTCTAAAATGCTATTTATTTTCTCTTTACAACTTTTAATTATTTCTTTGAGAACTTTAATTCTTTATAACTCTTAATTATTCACTTTGTAGCTCTTTATAAATATTTTAAATTAAAATTTGTACTGAAACTTTTATTTAGCCCATACACTTTACTGTAAAATTATATATATATATATATATATATATATATATATATATATATATATATATATATATATATATATATATATATATATATATATATATATATATAGTTGAAGACAAAATTATTAGCCCTCTTGTGGAATTTTTATTATTTTTCAAATATTTCTGAAGGGATATTTTTAAAGTATTTCCTAATATTTTCCTTTTTTCGCAAGAAAGTGTAATTTCTTTTAGTTTGGCTGCAATAAAAGCAGTTTTTAAATTCATTCATTCATTTTCTTCTCAGCTTAGACCCTTTATTAATCAGGGGTCGCCACGGTGGAATGAACCGCCAACTTATCCAGCATATGTTTTACGCAGTGGATGCCCTTCCAGCCATAACCCAACATTGGGAAACATACATACAGTATGGCTAATTTAGCTTATTCAATTCACTTATACAGCATGTCTTTGGGTAAACTCCACATAGAATAAGAGGGGTCTGGATGCAGACCGGGGGCAGTGCAATCTGAGCTGCATCCAATGCTTTTTAATGGGCTCACCTAACCCCACCCATCACAGTGATATCACTCACTCCATTTGAGTGCATTGTGTCTCACATTGCATCGCTAAGTGATGCAATCTCAGCTTGCATCATAAAGGCTGCATCCAGATACTATTGCACAAAAATTCCAACTGACCCAGCTGGGGCTCGACCTAGCGACCATCTTGCTGTGAGAGGATCGTGCTGCCTACTACACTGCTGTGCTGCAAAATGATTTGTCCAATGGGCAAGGCAGTGGCGCAGTAGGTAGTGCTGTCGCCTCACAGCAAAAAGGTCGCTGGGTTGCTGGTTCGAACCTCGGCTCAGTTGGCGTTTCTGTGTGGAGTTTGCATGTTCTCCCTGCCTTCGTGTGGGTTTCCTCCGGGTGCTCCAGTTTCCCCCACAGTCCAAATACATGTGGTTGAATTGGGTAGGCTAAATTGTCCGTAGTGTATGAGTATGCGTGTGTGTGTGAATGTGTGTGTGAAAGTTTCCCAGAGATGGGTTGCGGCTGGAAGAGCATCCGCTGCGTAAAAACTTGCTGGATAAGTTGTC